ATTGGCTTTGCCTAATCCTGAGCGATCTTTCAGTGTCGTCTGTGACGCATCTGACTTTGCCATAGGCAGCGCTCTGTTACAAACAGATGATGATGGGCGGGAACGCGTTATTGCGTTTGAGTCCCGAAAGCTAAAAGCTGCGGAGAAGAACTATCCTGTTCATGACAAAGAGCTACTTGCAATAAAGTATGCTCTCGTCAAATTCAGAGTTCATCTTCTTGGCTCTAAGCCGTTTGTGATCTATACAGATCATGCGTCACTACGCACTGCGACCCAGTCGCCTCACCTCTCTCAGAGAATGGCTCGTTTGCCTTTCCTTCTTTGCCGAGTACAACTTCGAGGTGAAGTATAAGCCGGGCAAGCAAAATGCTTTGGCGGATGCGTTGTCACGCAGGCCTGACTATGAGCTTGCTCATGTTACGACTCTGTCGTCACCGGTCACTGACCTAATCCGCACGGCATATGTCAAGGATGAACATTGTGTAGCCCTGCTACGTGCTCTAGGGAGCGAGGAGTTTAAAGACTCGGACATAAAATTGTCGGCACGGTTACGTGCGAGGTTACATCGATATTCCATCGATTAAGGCATGTTGTGCTATAGCACGGATGTGGAGGATACCCCTCGCATCGTTGTCCCTCATGATAAGGAATTTAAGTATCGGATCCTCTATGAGGCACATGATACTGCGTTGAGTGGTCATCTCGGTCGTGAAAAGACCTACGGCTCTGTGAGCCAATTCTATTGGTGGCCCAAACTATACAAATGGGTGAGCACCTATGTACGTACGTGTGAAACGTGTCAACGGGTGAAACCCTCACCACATGCGGCAGCGCCGCTGGCTAGTTTGCCTATACCCAAAGGGTGTTGGGAGTCCATCAGTATGGACTTCCTGTTCGGTTTACCGACGGATTCGTATGGAAATACGGGTATTGTGGTCTTTGTTGACCGTTTGAGCAAGATGGCTCATTTAGCGGCGGTGCCAGACACCATTGATGGTGAAGGTACAGCGACGCTGTTTATCGATCGCGTGTTTCGACAACACGGTCTGCCGTTGGCAATTGTCTCTGATAGAGATCCTCGCTTCACTGGGAAGTTTTGGAATTCCATCTTCAAGGTGCTCGGCACACGTTTGGACATGTCCACAGCGGATCATCCGCAGACCGATGGTCAAACGGAGCGCGTTAATCGTGTCATTGGTGACATCTTGCGCAGTGTTTGCGCTGAAACACCTAAGCGTTGGAGCTCGATGCTCCCTGTCGTTGAGTTTGCGTTGAATACCGCTGTGCATGCCTCCACCGGCTTTACCCCGTTCTACGTGAACGGTCTCACACACCCTCGCGTTCCGTTAACGCTACCACTGCGTGGTTCAGGGATTGGTAGGGGAGGAGTTGCCGACCGGCTTGCTGATATAAACCCTTCCACTGTTCAAAAATAGGTAAGCGAGTTTCTCGCAACGCGATTGAATGTCTTACGACATGTGCGTGACGCACTGGCTGATAGCCAAGACAAGCAGAAGGAATGTAGCTGATGCTGTAGGCAGAGGTTGAATTAAACGTTACGAGGTCGGAGACCAAGTTCTACTCAATGCTAAAAAATTACCTGCACATGTAGTGTCCGCCGTCTTCAAGACGAAGTTGCGCCCGCGCTTCATTGGACCCTTTACAGTCGTCGCCAAGAAGGGACTTGCGTATACGCTCAACCTTCCGCGCAAACTGCGCACACACCCCGTGTTCTACGTTGGCATGCTTAAGCCGTATTGGGATCCGTCCCACGTGAACTTGGAGGCGCTTGCGCCGGGTAGGTTGGCTTTGCCATCGGTTGCTGAATCCGTATCAGGAGGTCAAGCTGAGCCTCCATCCGGGCTTGACCCAACTCCAACGCCCGAACACGGGCTCGCATTGCGTCGAACGCACTCTGGGTCTGACCCAACGTCTCACGGAGACCACTCAGCTCGAGAAGCACCTTCTCGTGCTCCTCCTTCGGTATACCGACCACCTCCGACGCTGCTCGATGAGCAAGGGAACCGCCAGTTCCATGTGGAACGACTCCTGAAACGACTTCGTCGTCAGGGTCAATACCAGTATCTGGTAAAGTGGCGAGGGTACCCGGAGTCGGAGAACTCGTGGGAATTTGAGGTACCCCTTCGGCAGGATTGCCCGTACGCCGTTGATGTTTTTGAACATCGTGGCAGGGATCATCCTTCGACCGATATCGCTTCCCACCAATAGTGGTGGAAGCAGATGGGTCGTTTGGTTCCGCTTGACCAACACCCACATCAACCGGCACAGCCGGAGCATAGCGGGTGCGAAATCGCAATTGGCCTCTGGCCTTAAGCTTGGCATAGTCATACCAAAGCTTTCGTTCTAGACGAACATCTGCCACATTGGCACTTGCTGTGAGAGCTAGCATGCTGCTGAGGTGACGTTCCCGGTGCACCCAGCGCACAAAAGTGTTGTCCTCCTCCTCCGGAGATTCGCCTGCGAATAAGAGGATGGGTATACCCCTCATCGGTGGCACCGGTGCACCCCGTGCTTGCGTGTCAAGTCGCAACTTGTATTGACTTAGAGTCGTCAAGTGGGGTTGCAGGTACCTCTCACGAAGTGCCTGTCGGCTCGCCACTTCATCAGAAGATGTAGGCTCAGCGCCAATGGCCCACGTTGCCAGGGAACGACCTGTCGTTTGGCGTATACGCTCTTCCACATTGAGTGGAGTGAACTGATAGCCACGACGACCCTCAAGGTCTGCAGCAAGCTGCATACGGCGCTGAGCGCTCTCCTCTTGTTGGATTACCAACTCTTGTTGCTCATCGAGCGGGTTGGTGATGATGTGTTCACCTGCATCTGTTGCATGATGCTGCGTTTCTAACGCGGTGGTCTCACTACGCTCGGCAAATGGGTTTGGTGCAGTATGAGGCGATGCCTCTTGCACTGGTAAGTTGGACATTGTCCGTTCTTCACCTTGGACATCGGTATCACTACCATAGTCCTCCTCCACATTAATGCCGAGGTAAGAAGAGAGAGTCGGGGACTCGTTAGGTGGCGATGCCATGGTGTTTCGTGCTTTGCAAACCGTGAGGTTAGAGCGCACACACACCGTCCTCTTCGAGGAAAAATTCGATTGACGTTTTGTGGTAACGTCAGTCTGGTGGGGGAGGGTGTAACGGGGTTACACGTCGGCTGGTAGCCGACGATAGGTGTGGTGCACACACGAAAGGGGGGTATCCTATAAGATAATATTAGAACACAGTGAGCGTATCAATTGTTGAAGACTGGTGTCTGTCATCAATTGATTGCAAGATCTTTTAAGAGGTTATTTAGGGCAGGTTAAATACGTTGTTCTAAGGTGTTCTTTTAGGTTAAATGAAGAAATAAAATTCGGTTCCCATTTTGATCAACATAAGACACGTGCCTTACGAGGCGTCTTTGATCGGGAGGACAGAAGCAACGCCTGTAAAGGTAGCTTGTCCTCGATCACTCTGTGCTGTGATTCATTTGAATCGTTTGGTCCCTCTGGAACGGGGACCGTAAGCTCTCTGAGCTGTTGACTCTCTGAGTCGGGTTCTCTGAACCACCCTTTAAGCTCTCTGAGCTGTTGACTCTCTGAGTCGGGTTCTCTGAACCACCCTTTAAGCTCTCTGAGCTGTTTACTCTCTGAGTCGGGTTCTTTGAACCGAAGTTGCTCATTGAGCGTAAAGTCTTGCTCTGACTTAAGGAGCTGTGTAGCTCCGCTACACTGAGGCTCGCAGCAGTACGCCAGAGGAGCGAGTCGTCGCTGGGATCTAGGGAAAACAGTAGGAGTCAGGCGTGTGGACGAGCTTCACGCTGGACGAACGCACGGAGTTGCCGTTAGCCTGTCGTCTAGAAGCGGTGGGCGCTCTGAGACGTCATGGACTGCACGCCTCGAAACACGGCGTCGTTGCGCTTACAATATACACGTATGACGCAGGTTGAGCTCATGAGAAATCGTATCCTTTCCCAAGCGCGTTTCTCCGGCTCGACATCGTCTTAAATATCAAGAACAGCCGATCCCGCATGAGACCCTGTACCGCCAGAGCTTTACGATCAGCACAGTTAGCGAAGCGACCGGACCCCGCTAGTTGAGGGTCAGTAGCTCCCGTCCAGCAACGGGGAAACTTGTTTCGACAATTGCGCGCCTTTGTAGGATTGTCCCAAACATGTGCCGCCCACTTTCTCTCAACTTGTGCCGCAACGGAAAAGCGCGGCAAGGACGCATAGCATGATAAAAAGCAGCTGTTTCGTGTCGAATCTGTTCGTCGTTCACAAACGGCTACAAATTATGCAACACCAGTACAAATCTGATGAACTATTCATTCCCGCAGGACGACAGACGGCCTAAATCAAGAGTACCTGGCTGAGCCTTGATGGAGTATCCGTTTCCGCGAGCCGACAGCCGGTTTGAGTGAAGCAAAATCAGTCTGAATGTTACAGACTATTTATGCCCACGAAACGAGAACCTGCATGCCTCTGGAAGTCTTTTAATACGGTGCGTTGGGGTCAAAACTCCAGGCGATTTGTTCGTGCCGTCACAAAAAGGAGGTAGAGAGAGAGGTCCACGCTTTTCTCATAGACTCACGCAAGAACCTTACACGACCGAGTTCACGAGCTCTGCAAATTCTACTCGATTCACGAACGGTAAAAAGCCAGCAAACCAAACTGACAAAGAGGGTCAGTGGATTGTCCTTTTTCTCCTACAGCACATACATATGACATCACAATGATGTGAATTCTATGTGAGATATGTAAGGCCAATCGTTCTGACCGTGCCAGACTTTCAGACCAGACTTGCTGGAGCTCCTTTCGTCGTTCATTCTTTGTGCGTCAATAGGTCCGACGACGCTGGTCAAGTCATGTCGCGCATGTTGTGACCAACTAGGGACGACATCGAGAGCCGCACTTTTTCCGCTTTTGTTCTGTCAGGTACGCTTCGTCTAGCTGGAGATACCTCGTCTAGCTTGGCACAGTGTTTTCGCATCACCCTCATGGTGCCGCTAGGTATATATGCACGTTTGCTAGATCACGAGGTTTTATGGACACTACAGGCGTAAAATTTAATGGAGTATAACGTGTGTGACACCCATGATTGTACGACTCTTGGCATTCCCCACACATGGATTTATGCTGATCGGTTTCCGCTCGCTATTACTGGATGCCCGCTAGCGTTAGAAACTCTAAGCGGATAGGGGATTCAAACCCGTGATCAACCGGTAGCAGGAATATGCAAATTGTGCAAAACATGGTCGAGAACCCATCAAATCCAGCAGTATCAGTTTTAGAGGCACACGCGCCCGCGCTTTGCTGTGCGCGAGTATTCTCTTCCTCTGTACACGCAGTCCGTTTTTGCAGCACCTCCGATCTATCTTCAGCCAAACAGATTTGTTTGGTCCCAGTCCCACTGCTACAAGCTTCTGCCAGCTTTCTGGTCGGGAGCCCATCGACTATCCTGCTGGCTATCTTGCCGCATCTGAGCTGAAGGCCACCTTGCCGTGACTGGGATAGGGCACACTAATAAATGTCTAGCGTCATTGTTGACTCCGCTCTGATTGATTTAGCCCCTTGTACTTACGCGAAAGAGTGCAATTCGTCGTCCTTTCTTTTGGAGAACACCGTATGAGCCTATCTGCGTTTAGCCCGGATCATCAATCAGGTAGCTAGCTATGTACACGTGACATGTGTGCGTGGTAGCGGGCGGCTGTTTATCTGGATAGAAGCCAGTTTATTTGACGAAGGCAGACTCGCCCCTTTTCCTGCGACAATCCTGTGCACGCCCAGAATAAGGCCGGACCAGTTCTCGTTGAGAACGGAGAGTCAAGCAAGAACATTCCTGGCATGTTCACACAAAAAGCGATCGGAAGCACAGCCGCACTTGTCTCTCATTCTGCAATTTGCCTAGCAGTGCGCTAGTCCCATCATGCGCTTGCTCATTTACAGGCTCACAGTTCTGGCGGTGTTTGTTGCAGAAACTGCTGGATCAACAATCACTGGCGACGAAGAGGCTAACGGCGCTGCTGGTAGCACGCCCTCTGTCCTTTCTCGCACAAACGTGACCCTGCCCGTCACGTTAAGGACTGGGACGTCACACGACGATGCCGGAATTGAAACCGATGATGAAGGCCAGCATGATGTGGAGGAGAGGGTCGGAACGGCGTTGCAACAAGCTGCAGAAAGCGCCTCTGCATCGATCGGCCACGTTGCAGGTCTCTTTAAGAGGGCCACGAAGTTCGACGACATGAATTCTCGCATGTCAAAGGGTAAAACTGTTGCGGCGCGGAAGAATACGATCGAAGATGCGGACATGAAGAAGCTACGCGACCAAGTCAAGACGATGCAGAAGGAGGGGAGTGTCTGGGACTACAAGAGCTTGGCTGCGTCTCTTGTAAGCACGGAGTCTCATGGACAAAAGCTAAAAGTCGAGGTTGAAGGGGCGATCGAGACACTGCTTAAGCTTCGTATACACCCTGGTATGAAGAGCCACGCCGACCGCATACACCGGGAGCTATTCTCCATGTATGGGAAAACCCTTGGGGAGTCACTGAGCAAGTTCTATTCCAAGGCGAATCTGACACCGAACGAATTTGTCGATATAATGTGGGGCACAAAAGAGTTGTATCTCACTAACGGCTTTGCTGATGAGGCAAAGACTCAAGTGTTTAACCAGGCCATAAGATATCTGGGAGGACGGATCCTTCCGGCGCGCGAAAAGGCTGGGTACGTCGATGATGTCGCTAGTATAGATAAGAACGCTTTTGATAAGCTTACAAGCTTAGCTATGCACGAGGCGCCCAGGACGTTAAAGGCCTAAAACACGATTCAACGACTTGCGCGTGGTCGGAGCAAGAGAATAACTATCCGGACTACGAGACGAATGCACCCGCACGCTCAAGTCCTCTTGCAGCACGTGGGAGCGCAGTCTGTGAAGCTGGTAGCTATACAGTGATCTCGATTGTAGCTTCGTCAAGTAATGTTGAAAATACTTTTTAAAATCAACCTTCTACACGAAGCACATCAACTATGTTGGTGTTCCTCAACTTTATACCCAACTTTTTTCGCTAAGAAACTAAACTGAAACTATTTGTGCTGCGCCGGCGTCGAACGCGCGAGGCACACAAGTAGAACGACAAGGCCAGCAATCCGATAACCTTGTAACAATAGTCACCGAACTTGACGTGGTAGGTGAATAGTCACCCAATCATCGGGCAGAGTTTGTCATAAACTCGATGCTCCAGTCGTAGAACGAATGAACGGGGTGACCCTATTTTGCCTGTTTGTGATTTGTAGGTCAACGTAAAAACTGTCCAAATAAATGGCTTTCAAATTTTTATAATGAGCGGATACAATTAAAATATATTACGCTAGCAGATGATACTTTCGTTGCCAATTTGGCGAATTTTATCAATACCTAGCTTAGTGGCATTATTAGCCTTGATATCAGCCAGAAATGACTGGGTGTCGCGCAAACATTTGGGAGCAAAAAAAACATACTTGCTTGTACTTTCCATGTCTGGAGAAAAATGTATTTGCTGATTACAGAAGGGAAACAAACCACAATATACAAATAATATCTCTTACCACACTATAGAAAAATGCACACCAGATGGTCACAGAAGAAACAATGCTAACTGACGTATCTATCTATGCAACCGATGATACAGATTTAAAGATTACATAAATACAACTTTTTCCGATACTAGTTTGTATGAGTATTGCTTATATTTACAAAGAGTATTTTCGGTATTTTTGTGGGGGGCTAGTCTTCTGTCACCGTTGTTGATCCAGTTGTTTACGTAACTCGTTAAAACGCTAAAAATTGACACAGGACACCTAATTCTGCAATTTAAGCATCCTTGAATAAGGTCCGCGCAAGTTGAGCGACCATACTTGTACTGTCGCACAATTAAGTTCTCGAATATTGTGGTATGTGTTCAATGTGGACGTTGTACCTACGGCAAACCGCCTTAAATCCAACCATTGCAAGAACTGATAAGCATGCGGTTACAGCATCCATTAGGTAAATCGAGATTATATCGATGTGACCTCATTACATGATATCGGCACTATCAAATGCAAGTACGAGCATCATTTTCTTTACCGAAAATATGCTTGAGCATTACAGAATAGGTGATATCCAGTGACCTTGCTCATCGATTGCTATTGGCTATTATATCTATCAACTAAGTGTTTAGTAGTTGATGTAGGCCTATTAGATAATACCAGTTTGCTTTGGTATTCGTACATTGGTAATGAAGGCGTAATGATACCGACGAGAAGAAAAAATATTACTGTTCTTACAGTTCTGTTTTACTTATATTTACGTCGACGTAAGTCTTCTCGATTCTTCTGCACGTACGTCTAGTCAAGATTACAAGGCACCTACTAACACTGTCCTAAGTGTTAATGAGCGTACATTGTCATCAGTGTAGATGAGGTTTCTTGTTACACAGATCACATATAACACCACTCCCACCATCAATAGGTTCTTTCCTGTGAAAACTATATGATACTCTAGAATTTCATGATTTAAGCGCAATTCCCCTTATGTATCCGCAAGCATCCGCGCAACCACATCCTCCCGTAGCACCAAAGTAATTGTGTCGGATCTCCACATTTTTGTCTCCCGTTGATGCTGCTTGTCCACCCTTTGTCACATGCTGCATTGGGTCTTACTGAATATTGTTTGCGCAGAATGGTGAAGACATCAGTTTAACACGGTTTTGTCTCATATCATGTTTATTCGTGCAGAAACTTCTGGTAGAAGCGGATACATGTAGTTTTCCTCATTGCTTGCAATTCTCTGAGGAGTCACGATCTCCAGGATGTGCAGAAATAGCGCCTGGTGTGTTTTCTCTGCGCGAATCATTCACTATCACTTCACGCATTATAAGATATGATGCAATCCAATTGTCGACTATAAATGTTGTTATCATTACAAGATTAGAGCTTGAGCGAGTTTATGCCATATCGAGCTTCAATCAACGTAAATATTTGGAATCCAACAAGTTTTGGCTTCAGCAAGCTTTTAGTTTAAGCGAAGTCTGTGCTTCGATAGAATTAGTTCTCGCGCGCCAATCGTGGTTCCTGAGGATTCCTTCTGTGCTCTACGAATTTAAAGGGAACAAAGTTGTTAGTTTTTGCCGTACCACACGGGTGTGCTCTGTTCAATGCCAATACTATAGTACAGCGTCGCGTTCTGTTAGATATACATATATTGCTGCCTATTTCTAAGTTGGTGGTAAAGACAGCTGATAGGCTTGATTATATCATCCTAATCACGGTAAAAATTAGGCAATCGATCATTTGATACCACTGTGGAAAAGTCATTAATCAAATTTGATGACATGAATCGGTGGCCATCCAATTGAGGCGCCACTTATTTAGGAAATTGGCACCAAGTGATCTGGCGATCCAATGAGAAACGGAAGGCGATCCCACGAAGATCGACGGACCGATCCAACGGTCGACTGAAGGATGGACGTGGAACGGTCTGAGACGAGGCATAGAAAGGGGTGATTTCCTTGGAACAATCTGGGACGAGTCGCAGACATTGATGATTTCCACGGTGCGATCTGAGACGAGGGACTAGATTGAACCAGACGACCGATCTGAACTGAGAAATGTACGTCTGAGACCAGGCGATGCGACGTGACTCTGTGACAAAGGTGTAGCATCCAGGTGATCGAAGATACACATCACCGATCTCCAATGGGAGTACTGATTTTGGTTAAGTATAGCCCGATCTGGAAGTGTGGATGTTCGTGGAGGTCCGTGGGACCGTTGTGAGAACCGTGTATGGTCCCATTGTGTGTGGATAAACCCTTGAGGATGGTACCGGAGCATGCAAAATGAACGGAAAAAACATATAGGGCCGGATCGCACTGTGTCTATCCTCAACGATCTCGAATTGGGCATCAGATCGGCCATGTTCCCTGCTGATTATGGATATATCGATGAAGGAGCTATTTTATTGTATTAAACATGCTTGTGGAAGGTCCATGAGGGACGTCCTAAAAGTTCAGACCGAAAGAGCCAGTGGAAGCCGGTTGAATTGACGTCGCAAAATGGATTTCGACACATTCCGCATTTTGGATACTATTTTGAACTTTTCGGTACCAAAATTTGGTTATTAGTACCGTATTTGGAATATGGTCCCTTTTTGGTGTCTGGGTACGATATCGGGAGTATTGGCGCTATCTTTGGAGTACAGGTCACGAAATTTCGACACGTGTTCAAGGGGGCGGTCAAGCTAAAAGGTGATATCGGTTTGGAGAGGGACCTATAGTTGGGTTGGGCTTAAGGATAGGGTGGCTATTAATTTGGTTGGATAATAAAACAGCTACCGTTTTTATATATAAAGCACGTCGCAGACTTCTCTTCCGGGCAGGATATTTGGCCTCCCGTCGATTAAGAGACTTCGCCGCGCCGTGTTTCGTGTACTCAGCTTGGATTGTTTGGCCAAGGTGGGGTTAAGGTAACTCAACTCAACTCAAACTGCTAGGGTAGCAGCAAACAACGGTAAAGGAAAAGGATTTTGGTTACAAGATCGCGAGGCGGCTCAAGTGGTCAAAAGATTTGGACAAGGAGTTCAAGACAAGACCGAGCAAGACCGAAGCGATCTACAGGGCAGATCGGCACGTTTCATTTTGGCGAAACAAGCAACCGATCCACCCACATTGCGCACTTCCGGCAAGATCGGCCGCTCCCAGGACAAGATCGAACCGATCCCAACGCAAGATCGACGCAAGATCACTATTTGCCGAGGGAAGCTTTCCGCACAGCGAAGACCTCGATCCCGAAGACGAATCGAGATCGGTGTGATTCAAGATCGAGATCGCGAAATCTTCAAATAGAGATTGCCGCGACTCAAGACCAAGATCGCAGAACCCCTGTTCGTGGTGTGAAGATTTCCGCACCGGAAGCGAACTCTCAACCCAACCTCTCAGCGAGATCGACATCTCTCAAGGCCATTACGAAGAGCTTAAGCCAGCCCAACCGACAGGTACACCAGGTGAGCACAAGGTTATACAGCAATGTAAGGATCGGAGTACCCCCTCCGTGAGTTGGCAAGTCCGGGCAAGTGGAAGATCGACCCTCACTAAAGTAATTTTGTGAGATAGACTTCACCACAGTACCCAATCAGTAAATCGCGCGAAGATGCAGTAATAGACCACTGACCGACGGCTGTCGACGCCAAAGTCATCCATTCTGGTTGAATAAATGGCACCGCTAATCTACCTTGCTGCATTGGTAGTAAAGCCATCTCGGAGGGTACCCATGGGTGGGGTCTCTTGTCATCACGTACACCCCATACAAAATCCAAAATTAAGCTGTGCAACCGTGTAACCACGGACGGAGAAGGTCAACAGTGCCGTACTAAGAAGGTTCTTTTTGGCATTACAACGTCACTGGCGATCCGAGTGCGTTGTTCCACCGTATTAGGCTTCTCACGGGCTAGTACAAGCCGGTCTCACAGAGAACGGATTTGTTCCAGTCTTCGGCGACCGCATCCTGTTGCCCGGCCAAAACACCAAGATATTTGCACGATGCGCGGCAGACTGAGGCCACAGGTGTCAATTGACTGATCAGATGCGCGATGGTCCATATCAATGACCATCGATTTTGCTTGATGAGTCCGGAGGCCCGAAACGTTGGTAGAGCCGTCAGGAATAGATACAACTGGTGAAACCGCATACCGATATCGAAGGTATACCGCAGTGTTGTCAGCGTGTCCTGATACTTTGAACTCAGTAGTCCATCGTCCAGCCGTAAGAGGTACCCCGCGGATGTTTCCCCGTGCTTGGATCACCT